CAAACGTATATATTAAAACAAAAAATATTTCCAACGCATTAAAAGGCAAATTTCAACAAAAGTTTACTTTGGAGAAAAAGAAAAAGTAAGAAATACACTGCAAAAAACTGCGAAATTACAAAAATATATATGAAYAAATTGGGAAAAAATTTTACTAACTGAAAGAAAACTTGATAAAATTCGATAAGAATATAACTAAACACCATATAATTACAAAAAAATCACAAATAAGCAAGAAAAAGAGAAAAAAATTACAGTATCTTTTCATTCTTAATTAAGCAAAATATTGGATTATTAGAAAGAAGTCAACAACACCCGCGTTCGTGACTTTTCGTGAGAATTTCACGCACTTAACTTCTAGCTCCTCTCAAGTGCTGGCTTCTCAAAACAGTGGCAAAAAAGAAAACCCCTTCAGTGAAGCATYTCAACTATTTGCCGTACGCAGTCGCGCTTATCTTACACACCACTTGTCTACTCATGCCAGTTTCCGTTCCATTTCTACGCCCCAGCAATGGCGCTCAGCTTCAGCGCAAAGGAAATGCGAAAAATTCTTCCCGCACTTGAACATGCACAATAAATCGCATGCGTTCGCGCCCGCTCTCAGTCAGCGCTCGAGCGGTTGGTAGTTGTGTGCGTCAACCCTTCACCTACGCGCTTCCGCATGCCAGCCAGCAAAGCGTTGCACGGCGCTGCAGGCAAGCTGTGCTTATGCAAATGACTTTCGCTTGCCACATAATACTTTACTTGAATTATTTTGTTGCTGTTGTTGCTTTTGTTAGGCGACGATTTTTATGCGCGTGCGAAAAATTGCAATGACAAGGCAAACACATGTTTCACTTTATGCTCGCTTTCTTACAAGCTATGCACTCGTGTTTTTTCTACTGTTGCCTCCCCTATTACAGCTTTGCGCTCATTTGCATGCGAGCGTTTCGCCGCTGTGTTGTCAACGTTTAACAATGAAAGCTGCATTTCTTGCATTTTTCCCACTACAAACTGTTGTTGTTATTGTTTTATAAATTAATGTCTCTTTATTTGGCGCTTGCAACAAATACATTCAACGCATTGTTAATTATTGCAACTCCCTGCATGCCGCCACAGCTACAACTTTTTCAGCGCACTCTAGTTGTAGTACTTCTTGCTGTTGTTGTGTTTTTTGTGTGAYACATCTTTGCATTTGACAGTGCGTTCGTTGTGGCGCGTCGCAATTTCGCTGCACCTGCCGCCTTAAACAGCTTTGCTACTATTCTGCTACACATTTTTTTATTTTTGTAACGACGTCTTTTTTACGAATAACTTTCGCTTGCCCTCAAATATGTGTTTGCACATACAWATGTATGTGTGAAGTGCGCTGTGAGTTCAGCTGCATTTCATTATTGCTGGAACTCCTCCACCATTGAGGCTCTTTCCGCTGTCTGCTTTACTCTTCGCTCACTTTTTTGTGTCTTGTTTGYCTTAGCAAACCTTTTTGCTCTTCTTTGGCTGTTTTTGAGCACTTGTCAGTTTTTTGGCGCACATGCATCTGGTAGCCCTACATTTTTAGCTGCATTTTTGCGTGCTCACTTTTTGCTCCTTTTCGCGGCATCCTCTTTTTAATGGACATTTTTGYTAAGTTAAATTTAATATTTGGCCAAATGTACGCAATTTCCTTTTAATAATTAAAAAATACAAATTTACGCACATTTTGGCTGAAAATATGTTTTGTCAGTATGTAGTAAGTTTAAGTGTATTTGTGTGCAGGAATCTCGATAGTTTTAAAAAGCCTTTTGAACAAAGGAAAAGATATATTTTGGAAGGCTCTAAGAGTAGCGAATTTTTGATATTTTTCGAGAAATCTTGACTTTTTTCCGTTAAATAAGTTCGTTTACTCTATATAACGGCTTTATTACATAAGCAATGTTAAGTTAAATAATCTTTTAAAAATTCGAACTAAATACTTAAATCCTTTGCAGCGAATATTTTAACTTTTTATATTTACGGATAATAGATGTTTTCAATTTTTGTAGTTCGAAAAATGATATTTCGAACTTTCTGGATAAATTTCACCAAAAAAAATTTGGGTTTTGCATTTTTTATTTTTTCCAATATTTTAAAAAATACAATTAAAACCAAAAGAACATTTTTCAAAAAATAAATTTAAATTAAATRTTGCAGAAATGGTTTCCCAAATTTTTGTGTAAATAATTTTAAAAAATTTTCATAAGAAAAACATATGGAAAATTTAAAATATTTTCAAAAACACATTTTTGAATAATGAATTTTAAATCTTTAACAAAATTATACAATCAATTATACGAAAATATTTGCATACACATTTTTAAAAATTTTAAAATATCTTTTTGAAAGATAAATTTTGGAATAATGAATTTGAAGACTTAATAAACATTTTACAACCAGTTTCGAAATATTAAGTTTTCAAAGTACCATTTAGTAAACAAGAAAAAATTAAAAAAAATTTTGAAGTTTTTCAAAAACTATTTTAAATTTTTATTGGAATAATAAATTTGAAGACTTTTTAAAAATTGTATAACAGTCTTAGAAATTATAAAAACAAAAAGTTTCGAAAATATTTTGCAAAAAGATTTTATCCAATCGGAACAGTAACAACTTTATGAAAGTTYTACAACTGTTTTCCAAAATAAGTTTCAAAATATTATAAAATAAACACTTAAAAACAAATTTCAGAAAATATTTCTAAATAATAAACTGAAAAACCTCTTGTCAAAATACTTAAAACAAAAAAGAAAGAAAACGCATTCAGAATTTTATTCAAATAATGAATTTTGAAAACTTTATAAAAATATACTATCATTTTCTTAGTCTAATTTCTAAATAATAAACATGAATAATAACAAAACATAAAATGAAACTAAAAAAAATTATAATGAAAAAAATTTGATATTT